AAAAAAAAAAAAAAGAAAAAAAGCTGATCATTTCAAATGCCTCTTTTTATCCTTTTGCACATAAGATCAGATCCTATCGTCGATTGAGGCTAGACTCGCCGCAGAGTATAACAGCACGGTGGCGAAATGAACGCAACGAGCGAGACCATCACGGAACGCCAAACGGTATACTTGTCAACGCACCTCGTAGCGCCTCAAGGCATCAATTAGGCGAAAGGTGCGCCCTCGAGTCCTCTTATTCTCTCTCCTTTCGCCGTCATGAGGGGAAATGTTGCAAATTTAAATGCGAGTGGCGAAAGGAAAAGGATGGAGTGTTTTGAGGGCGCAGGCAAGATAGCCCTCCATCTTGCTTTCTGTTCGCAAGCTCTTCTCTTTCTCGACCCAGCAGGCTTTCGAGGGCGCTGCAAGGATTTAAAAAAATTGGCCAACATGGATTGAAGAATATCGTCGCCACTCGTCGTCGCTCGGATGTCAGATGCCCCCACGCATCCCCCCATGTCATGCCGGTACCATCGGCGAAAAGGAAGAGATTCAGCCGACTTGCCTTTGACCAAATCTTTTCTTTCGCACGCCCTTCACCACCTTCACCACCTTTCGAGGAAGACGAGGGCTTCTTGTTCCCCTCCTTGCTGCAGATAGGAGTACATAGCGTGCTGGTCAGGCTATCCTACTCCACCCCCTTTTCCTTCTGTTTGCACCTCTCGCCTACCTCGCTTGATCACAGGGCTGGTCTCTGAGTGATACCCTCGTGCACGTCGTCGGATCTGACCATCGAGCTGGTCTCTCGGTCGAGCTCGACACTGCTCAAAAGAAAGCTCTGGCGTGGGCGCGGGCGCGGGCGCGGGCGCACAAGCCAATCAGCGATGTTCGACATGCGCGTCATCTCGCGCGTCTTTGTGCTCGCTTGGCTCTGTCTCGCAGCGGAGCAGAGCAAAGCAGCAATCGATGCGCATCTCAGCATTCTTTCCAAAAGAGCAGGACAAGAAATTTTTGGCGCTATCGAGGGCACGGCACGCTCTACTCCTGCACTCCATCGAGCCGTCTCGCATTTGTCTCTGACAAGTGATTCTCCATCTCATCGACCGGACAAGGTAAAAAAGTATTGGCGTTGGGCCTCGCACACGTATTCCTCCGACGATGGCAAGCAAACCGTCGTTTGGAAAGCTAGACCCAGCGTCGGAGAACATGTCAAGGCGTGGGAAAAAGCTGCAAAGGTGGGACACGATGGACCGCTCAAAAATGTGAGAGCAGAGGTGAGTTTACGACCGCATCCATCATCACCACGGATTGTAGATGAAGCATTCTCTCATCCTTCAATCACCGCTTGCGACTTTGTAGGCTCCGGGGGAAGAGCACACGACTGGTCTTCCCGACCTTCACAACGTTTATGCAAAGCATTCGACACCTCGACTCGTGGCTTATGCAGAGTCGCATCCGACACCAGCTGAGGGCATCAACACTGCTCCGCCACGCATCGATTCCTCCTCCAAGCGGCCACTGGAAGAAGCACAGCCTGCTCATGTTGAAGAAGAAGCCGCAACGAGCAACAAGGCGCAAAGGACCGCGTTTCAAGCTTCGCCCAGTTCTGTACGCTCCGCCGGCAGAGAAGCCCAGCCAAACCAAACGCCGCCGCCCGATGCGCACATGCTTGAGAGTGAGCGAGAAACTGTGCCCGTGCCTGTGCGCAGCAGTAAAGAGAGTGCTGCGGCCGAGCACGCGCATCGGCTTCAGCAGCCTCCGTCTGAGAGTCTGGGTAGCACCAGTGAAAAGTCGGATAGCGCAGCATCGTCGCGCACTTCATCCAGCAAATCATCTGCGCAAAACCCCAACCGTCGTCCACGACCTTCGGCCGAGCTGTTGGCGCTAGCGCACAAAGCTCATCCGAGCGTTGCCGAGAAATTGCTGCAGTTTGCAGAAGCGCCGGGGAATTACAAGATGGTGTTGCCTGCTTTTGTGCATCAGCATCATCCTGAACTTGCTCAGGCACTCATCAGAGAACATCTCGCTACGCCCGCCAGGGAGTTTGCGCAACACGATACCGATCATGCGAGCTCTTCCACGCGTGCGCATGCGTTGCAAGGCGTCCAGAGTCGTCTTTCTGCTACTGCTGCTCCGGATCAAGGCCGGATGGTGCACGGCAATGCGCCCACACACGCACATGCGACCCCTTCACCAGCTCCTGCTACGCTCGAAAATTTGGCCAATGGCAGTCGAAACAACGTCCCGATGGAGCACACCCTCGCCGGTGCCGCGCCGCGTTCGGCGACCAAGAGACCGGCGCAAGAGCTCGATGTGGTTAGGTCAAAGACGCCTCGAACGCAAAGCACACTTCCAAGCTCGCTTTCTCCGGGAGTCGTGGCTTTTTTGCGTACCAAGGGAAGCGTGCAAGGCGCTAGTCAGGCTGCATCTTCTGCCTCGCTGCACAAAACGATTTCACACCGTGCCACGGGCGACGAGTCGCCCGCTCCTGTTCCGCGGAACGTTGTTCGTGCGACCACTTCAAAGGAATCCGCTTTGCCTCTGGTTGCGCCATCGACTGATGCTCCAGGTTCAAGTCACCGCTTCAGCGATCAGCAGGTGGACAAGATGTGGCGCGAGACGATCAACTCGATCAGACACCAGAATCAGGCTCACAATCCTCGTCCTCCGGCTGTACGACCTGATGCGTCGAGCTCCACAGCTCCACCAGGCACTCTACGATTCCACGCGCAGGTGAGCGAGACTATTGCTTCTCAAAAGGCCAGGCTTGCAAATCCCTTCCGACCCCAAGCGCCGGCTCCGAGGCCAGGAACACAAGCAAGACCTGAACATACTGCACCCAACTACCATAACGTCTTACGAAGCCCGCCGTCCAATCCGCAAATTGAACTTTTGACGCAGGTGCGAAATTTGCCGGCACGGGCAACTGACACTGTTCGTCCCGCAAGGCCTGAAAGGATGCCGTCTGGTAGTCCTGCTCGAGAAGCGGAGCAAGACGCTGACCAAAATGCTGAGGGAGCCCCATCGAGGCAACCTGCGTCGCAGCGTACTCCTGACGAAGCGCCGCACAACGACAAACGAGACGTGCTTGAGCTGTCCGTGCAACTTCTCGACAAGCGAGCTTCGCGCTTGCCCCCCTTGACGGAATCCTTTGACGATACGTCGCGCCTTCCATCAGATCTCAGATCCACCATAGATCTGAGCGGAACGGAGCGGCCACATGGCTCGCCATTGTGGGGCTCGGGTCATGTAAAGAAGATGGCAAGTGCGTGGAATAGCCATTTAGCCCGCATCCATTCGCCCTCTGCTCGCCAGCAGCCCACCCTCGCTTCCGAACTGGTCGTCGCGAGACCAACGGACGGCGGGTCGAGCAGCTCTCACTCTCAGCGTTCGTCCGACCAATCTAGGCCAATGGAGATTTCTCCCAGCATTTCCCCCGAGCAAGTCGTGCGCACGTCCCCTGCCAGACAAAACGAAATGAGGCGTTTGCCGTCTAGCTCGTCAGGACGGCAAGACGAGTCTTTGGACAGATCTCGTCGCTCACTTGCAGCCGTTGCGGATACTCTGCTTGGGCGCGAAGAGGAGCAGACATATGCACCGCATCAACTCGTCTTGCGCGCTCCAGCACCACCCGCATCCGCTGAAGATGGGCCCGCCGCAGCTTTCCTCAGACCCAGCGTCAAGCAGATGGTGCAAGCTTTCGAAAATGTAGCAAGTCACGGAAAGAAGAGTTTGGATGCTGTCCGAGTGCCCGTGAGTTGCGCAATGCCTCCGTTTCATCTTGACCTCTGCTGACACTGTCGCTGCGCGACAGCATGTCGAGCTTGGCAGTCAATCTTCGCCCCTTGCTTTGCCGGGCCCGTCGGCACCGCACCGCACCGCAGCTGCTTCCCAGCCAGCCGCGCATGCAGAATTACGAGAGGTCGGCATTCACCACTCTCGCCTCGTGACTTCGCCGCCCCGAGCAGAAGCGCCTAGCCGCAGCCCTCCTGGTAGTCCTGAAAGGTACTCGAGCACGAGGCATGAGGTGGTAGACCCAGCTCTGCTCACCAATAGCAGGAGGCAAAACATGCGATATGTAGTCTCTGCATCTCCTCCCGTGCCTGCGGGTGGCGGAATACAGACCCAGCAACGAGCAGTCTCCCAACCTCCTCTGGCAAGACACACGACGAGCGATTCGAGTTCTGATCCCTTGCACACGTCGGATTTTATGACGACGACGCAGCCATCCTCGAGCTCATCCTCTTCGAGCAGCTCTAGCAGGGGCGGGCCTGTGCGCAATCGCACTGCATCAATGTCTATCCACACCTCGGACTTTTACACAACGTCGACGAGTGCAGGGACAAGTACTTCCACATCCCACCCACCCTCGAGCGGCAGAGCGCATCCCGATGGACATGCGGACCATGCGTCGAGCTCAGGAAGGCAGCGAGGCCCCGGACTGGATCTTCCAGATCTCAACCTTGGACCTGGCCGTGCGCACACGGGTAGCGCTGGATTGCGAGCGATCAATCCCCCCGCAACACCGAATGATTGGCTCTCTCTCGCTACGCCACAAGGAGCGCCGCACCCTGGTAGTGCAGCAGCCAAGGCGCTACCAAGCGTCGGAGAAAGCTCCCATACTCCTTTTTCTGCACCCAGAGGCCAACCAGGATCTCACCCAGAGGAGCAGCGAGTTGTCCCCTTGTCTGACCCTGACCCGTCTACCAGCGAGCGCCAAGTCTTCTCCTCCCAGCCCGCAGAGCATCTGACCATTGCGCAGGTGCAGCGACCTCACGTCCAGCACGCGGAGCCTATCGGCAATCGTAAGCGAAAGTCTGGAGGGGAAGAGGAGGGGCCATCTCGTTCGCTGGCTCAAAGGCATGACGGCGGCGCGGCTGTGCAGCATTCTGAACAGCATAGAGCTGGTACTTCGATGATCGACAGCTCGATAGCGCCGAGACGCTCTCTCAGGCAGCGTACGACTCCGCAATGGTTGCGGTCCGAGGATGAGGCTAGTCCTGTCGGGCAGGCGAACGCTCCGCAGCTCAGGCTAGGACGCGGCCGGCCAAGAAAGCAGACGACTTCAAGTGCTGCACGCTCGCCGCAGCTTGAACGGCGCTCACCGGAGCTGCAACGTTTCTCAGCGCTGGCGCTGGACGGCAAAGCAAGAATGTTTGAGCAAGGGGAGAGCAGCAAATCCAAACTGGACGCAGTACTCGCGTGTTCAAAGTGTGGCAAACTCACTTGCGCCGAGTGCGGAGAGGTGCTGGCACAGCCAAAGACTCGCCGCACGCTTGGGAGCGCGCCTGAAGCTGCTGCCCGCAAATTCCGCCTTGCCACTCCGATAGAGATTATGGCGGCCAAGGAACGTCAAAAGGGGATGCAGAAGCTTCAGCGCTACGCGTACGCTTTTGAGCCGAACAAACCTCAGCCGCAGATGAGCACTGTGGTTTCTACTCAGCGCGGCGCGCCGTACGTGGGCCCAAATCCTCACATTGTCGACTACAACAAGCAGGTGCAGACGACTGACTCCAAGGTGCGAACGCCAGAAGCTACACTGGCGTGGCTGCATGCGCAGTCGAGAGCGCACGCTCTGCCTCTGCCGCGGCTGACGAAAGCTACCTCTCAGCCTCGCGTTCGTGGTACACCTTTGCGGCCATCAAGTACTGGGACAATTTTGAGGAAGCCCAACTTGCGCCGAAAGATCCCGAAGCCGCTCGAGCGAATGCCTACCATCCATGAGGAGTGGGAATACGTCCCCAAGCACAAGCAAGCAATCTACCGCAGAGGCTTCCCCCTAAGGTTACCTCCGCATTCTCCCGACCCGCCTGTGGATCCGGGTCTGGCAAGTCTGCTGCACGAGATGGAACAGCAAGACGCAAATCAAATGTCGCCTAGAACTCGCAAGGAGCACTTGGACGCGCTCAACCAGGTCCGCCTGAGCGTGCATGGCATGCAACACGTGCCCTCGCACGAAGTGTATGAGCTCGGTCACAGGCTCGACGTTTTGGGTGCTGAGAGGCGAAATTTGGCGCAATTGAAGCAGAACCACGCGCAACAAGAGGCTTTGTTCCAACAGCTTGCCGGTGACATCCTTGGTCCGGGATGGCAACATGGTCCGGCTGTTGCTCCCACTCGTTTGCCGTCCGGCATCTCTACGGCTGATTTGGCTCACCACATCCATGCCAAGACAGGTATGAACGTGGCCGACACTGATCCGGACGACTTGCAGCGAGCCTTGCAAATGTCCATGGAGCCCGACTCACCCAAACACAAGCGAGCTCGCTCGACAGAATCCATCGAACGGGCGTTTGGTGCGCACAGCGTAGGTCCGCAGAAAGCAATCGTCATCAAAGAGGGCGCACATAAGGCTACTGCTTCCGGTGTGACAGGTCATGCGGAAAAGACGCTCCAAAACCCAACGGACCCCAAAGGCAAAGCACCAATGCTGTATGTTGAGAAGACGGGTGCTGCGAAACGGCCACGCACGGATTGGGAGATTGCGAATACCGCCGGATCGGTGAGTCTTGTTATGAGAAGAGATCAAGTCTGTATCGAGTGGGGGCTCGTTTGAAAGAACTGCAAGAGACTTATATACATGCGTAGAATAGAGGCCCGTGCGCTATTCAGACCGTTCAGGTGCCTCATGCAGAGAAGGGAACCGTGCACTCACTAAATGACGCTCCTATCTTTGCACAGAGCGGATTGACTCCCGAGCAGAAGGCTGCAGACACGGCTCCAAGAAAGCCGGCGGCCCATTCACCTACTCATTCGGATCAGACGATGCACATCATTCCTTCTCCACCGTCTTCCCGCGGATCTGCACGATCCGACGAGACTATGCATGACCAGTTTTCTCCTTCTCCTGACCGCACGGCCTCTAGCCCTGGCAGCAGCAACACTTCGTGGAACGTTCACGATCATCAGCACAAACATCAGCGTCGGGACATTCCGGCCAGACTCGTCAAACGAGGACCCCCAAGCCCATTGAGTCCAGGAGCAGAGGTGGAGAATTTCCTGCACATGATGAAAGGCATAGACCCTTCATCCATGTCGCCAAAAAGTGCGGCCGAACACCGCGCAACGCTCAGGGACCTCGAGACGCAGGTCGCACAGATCAGAGGTGCGCGACACGGTGGACATGGCTATCCTCACGAGGACGATGTCCCGCATCTCGGCTCTCAAAGATTCGCTCTCCCACTTGAGTCACCGCCTGGCTCTCCAGGAATGTATAGCGATCCAGGGGAGCAACTCGTTCGATCCCCAATACACATCGTTCCACAAAGCGACTCTGCGCCCGGAGACGTGCTTCTGAGTCCTCCTCGCAGAGACTCACTGGATCACTTTGCCACGTCACCCACACCTTCGCGGACTAAATCTTCATCCCGGCGAATCTCTTTCGATCTGAACAAGTCGCCGAAAGCAAGCGATCCTGAGCTCGAGTCAACGGCCGAATCGGTCGGTCGAAGTCAGCGAAAACGCCCTGCGGAGTGGCACAATCGCAACATGCTGGCCAATTCATTCCTCTTCGGCACGCGCAAGCTTGCCGGGACCGTCAAGAAGCCCAAGGCTCTTACATATTCGGACCATCTGACCCAGGCGCCATATGGCGACTTTCATGGCGAGCCCGCTCCCCTCAAGCCCGTCAAGATCGGTCCGCCAAAGACGCCAAGCGGTCAGCAGGCGGGTCTGGATCCGAAGAAGGCCAAGCTCAAAGGCCCGGCCGTGCCTCCGGTCAAGGTGAAAGATGCGGCCCGCGCAGTCGAAAGTGCACCTTTCCGAGCAGACACGGGGTTTGACGTTCACGGAAACCCGCGCAGTAGCCGCCCTGTCGGAAGCAAATCCAGTCCAAAGCAAAACTCTCCATTGCGTGCGGGAAGCCCCAGACCCGCAGAGGAGCTCTTCAGCAGCCCAGGAGCGTCGCCTAATCATCGTGCATTCTTTTCGTCTCTGCTCTCTCTTCCCGTATACTTGCGTGAGGACCCTGCTGGAAGAGGCTACGTGCTTCATGGAGCGGCTCATTCAAGTCCTTCGCGCACCGAGTCGTCGGAGATAGCGCCGATTCATCATCTTCACCGTCGCTCAGCAAATCCTGGGAGGGCGCTTCGCCCGAGCCGAGCCTTCCTGTTGATGCGTCGCACTGTATTGCTCATGACGACTGCCCTGACTCCCATGGCCACTGCACGGCGTGCTACCATTCATCGGAGCAAGCTGCCCATCTCAAGCGCTCAAAAATTTGTCACTCCTCCAGAGCTAGCTCGGCGATGGCCAGGAGAAAGCGAGCCTTTCAAGGCACTCGACGAGCATCTTAGGCCCGGCAAGAACAAGATTCTTCGCAACGCAATTTCGAAACTCACCGCATCGTTCAAGGGAGAGAAACGTGTTGACAGAGCTGCGACATATCCATCGTCATTAGCCCGAGCGTCCATGCGAGAGCATATCACGCCCACTCGCCCCGCGGGAGTTGACGGTCTTAGTCCGAGAATGCCTCAAGCTGTCCGGAATGGCCAAACGGCGAGCAATATGCAGCTTGGAAATTCACAAGACAGCGTTTTGTCCTCCTTCACCTCGCACTTTCGCTATCTCAATCCGTACGCTCCAAGCATACACACGCCCAAGAGAGTGGCGTCAATGAATTCAGAGCATTCTATCGCAAGCCGGAAGCAAGATGGAGTCAAGATCTTGGAAACGAGCATGCCACACAGTCCCGTGTCCTCACGTCAGACGACTCGAGCTACGCAGATCGAGCTTGGCAGCCTTGCTCATGAACAGGGCACAGCAGGGACTTCGACACTGCAAAGCGGGACGGGAAAAGGCAAGCAAAAGATGCACAAGGATCTGAAGCTGGTCTCTCCTTCCTACACGCATCGCGAGAAACCATCAGACGCCGAGCCAGCGGCTTCTCCAATCGACGGCTTTGGTCAAAGTGGACGATGGCACCACGATCCGCAGCCAAGCTGGTATGCAGAGCAAAAGTGGCACTTGTCTCACCAGGCACGCAGCGTCAAAGCGACACCGCGCGTCAAGGACGACTTGAGTCTGCCGGAACTGGAGAAGAGGCCCGGAAAACGAGCGCCTCCGAACTACCCAAAGCCAGGATGGGAACACAAGGTGCATCCTGTGGGAAACACGCCCGCACGAAACTCGGCCAACACTGCAGTCGATCGATTGCGCGACGCTTCGTCTCGTACTGCCTTGAGCGAGATTTCGCCAAGCTCAGGGCCTTTGGCATCGGTCGTCAAGAAGCCGATTCGCGTGCCTCGGACAGAGATGTTCGGCGCCTTCCATTCAGTCAATACGCGCAGACTTCTTCGCAGAGACATTGTGGCGCAGGAACAGCGTCCTATGCGCGGTCTTGGGAGCAGAGCCATCGTACCGCTATCTTCCGCGCTGCACCTTCACGAAGACTTTATTCCGATAGAAGATGTGCTGGTGGAGGAGTCGCCCGAGGGCATCAAGGAGTCTTGTCATGTCCCGCGCCCAAGTTCTTCCGATTCTGCTTCGCAGTTCGGAAGGACTTTGACTCGTATCAAGCAAAAAGTGAAGCGAGAGGATGAGAAAGTGAAGAAGTCGATGTGTCCCGAGGAGGTGAAGGGTCAAGAGGAATCGTCGCGCACGTATATGCACCCGGCTCCAGCACTGACAAGAATACTGCGCAGAGCTCTACCACCGCCAATCGAAGAAGGTGGGCAGGCTCAAGCTCGTAAATTGAGCAGCAGTTTTGCAAAAGAGATGGTGAGGAAGCCGTCGTACCGAGTTTGTTTGTTCACCCACCGACTCTGAATCATTCTTCTGAATCAGTCAAAGATTCAGTTCAGCTTTCCTGCCAAGCGCATCGGTACCAGCGCTCGATATGCTGGATACAAAGCAGAGGTGCATCGAGCGACACAAATCTCCAGCCGCATAGATACGAGCCCAGAGCCAATCAGGGGCCATCGATCCACGCGCACGGGCAACAATGACAGTCAGATCTTCGCTACGCCGTTTTCGTCTCAACTCAAGAGAAACCCGACACGGCTTGCTCGAGCTCGCTCGCCCATGAAGCAGATCGTGCCACTGATGAGAATCAAAGAAACGTCTCGTTGGCCGGTTGAGAGCAAATGGAAGAAGCAGAAGCAGCGTGAGTGATTCGCGTGGAAACGTCAAGCTAGTGTTGGGATCCTGAATCGCACCTTTGCTCGCCTGTCTGTTGCAAAAAGATGCGCAGCAGACGCCCACGATGGCCTCTAGCTCAGCGGATAAAGTGGCGCTGTCCAGCCAGCCTGGGCTTGTGCAACTGCAACCGACGGCTGCGTTGGAGAATGTGTCTAGTCAAGGCTACCAAGGACGACTGACGCGTCAAAAGTCGTCCATGGCTGGCGTAGCAAGTGCGGCGGAGCAAGAACAGGTGGTTGGAGCTGCCACTACTCTGACTCGGATGAGCAGCGGCCATTGATGCCTAGCCTGCCTGCATCGGCACCTGCGAGGGATGTGGGCAACGCGAGGCGCGAATTCGAGCGATCGAATGCGACCATTCGAATGCCCGATGCTTTTGACCCGGACGTTGTGACTCGGAGAAAAGGAGAAAAAGGAGGCTCTTGCATGGATGAGGTACCTGAGCAAGTTGAAGGTGCGATGCGTAGAATTTCGTGAGCGCATGCTCTCCTAATCGCGCGGGCGCAACTGTCCCATGAAATGCAGCAACACTGCGGCATCGCCTTCTTCATTCTGATCCAGCAAGCTCGTTCCCGCGCCGAGTGTTTGCGAAACTAACTGAATATGACACATTTATTTCGATTTGTGTCGCGAAAGATTACAAGGAGTGGAGGGCGTGGCATGATGTGGTTGCAATCACTGATCCAACATCACGATCCATCAAGAAGCAGATGTACATATGCTCGTGCCATGGAGGGACAAGTCACGTGACAGCATCACGTGCTTGTGGAACAGCTGCCGCGCGCGGCCGAGGGTCGCCGCGCGCACAATTCAAATTCAATTCACGTGATTGCGACGGCAACGGCAACGCGGAACGGGGGGCGCAAATGATGGGCCTGGCCTGGCCTGGCCTGGCCTGGCCTTGCTGGCTGGCTGTGTGCGCATTGCAACAGTCACGAGTCAATCACGAATGCAATCCACAAACACGCCGCCTTCCCCCCCTCGCATCCGAGCCGCGCTAATCATCTCTTTTCGCTCCTACGACTCGAAAGCTTGCTACGCCCAGAGCACGAGTGTGGAAGGTCATCAACGAAAAACCAAGGTCAAAATGTCCGCTGCTCAGCCTTATCAACTTCCATCCGCCGATGCGATCAAAGGTGAGTCGTTGGCGCAGTAGCGCGGG